CCAAGTTCAGTCTCCATCCAGCTGTAGGAATCAGTCTTTGTACACTGTAACTCATTCATGGCACACTACCTTAACAGTGAATACACTATTTTCTATTACATATCTTAATAGGACTATGTCCCACTTGTCTTCCTACTGCATATATATTTACCCTGTCATCTGCCTTGATTCTTTTTCTTTTTATTTTTTGGTACTGGGGATCAAACTCAGGACTTTGCGCTTGTGAGGCAGGCGGCAGAACCACTGAGCTAAATCCTGAGCCCTGCCTTGATTGTTTGAACCACTGCCAAACTACAATAATGTAGCTTTTTTGTAATACTTAAAAACACATCAAAGCTTTGCATAATTTTCCCTCATAATTTCAGTATAAATATTTCTTCTTACTTGATAAAAAACATGAGTACCGTATTCTAGATGTATTTCCATAAGCCAGACACTTAACCTATTTCAGTTACATTTTTTAAAAAGACTCTGAAAGTGGCTTTTAAGCCAAAGGTTCAAAACTATATTGTCCAGTTACCAAGTAAATGTGCAAATTGTCCAGGATCAACATGTGACAACTGGAACTTGTAAAATCTTTCTGAATGCATTTTTACAGTTTCTGATATAGTTAGTTGTTTTCTTTGCTGTTGTTGCTTTTTAATATGGGATAGTCCAGATTTGGCCCAAAGGTTTAGAATTTTAAGCCTTGCTTTAAGCTCTAAAATCCCTATGATGCTAGAATTAGTGATCATGCCTATGCCCAGCTCTGTGTGTTTGCTATGACTACTGCCAATTGATTAATACTACCTCCTGACACCATCCTGCCATCACAACACACACAAGCATTTGTATTGTTGAACTGGCTGGAGTACACATACATCATTAAATTAGCAAAAAAGAGATGAGGAAGATTTCAGCAGGTGCACTAGAAATCTGGAATCCTGGTTTAAAATTTAAAGTTAATTTGCAGTCTGTAAATTAAACCAGATGGTAGTTTCACCTGTTAGCTAGGTGATATTGCTTAACATTCTTGAACTTCAGTTTTCTCATCCTTAAAATTGAGAGATTGTACGATCTGGATAAGTTATCTTTTAAGAACTGAATATCATAATTATGAGAGCACCTATACTCATTCAGCACTTACTATGTTCAGGAACTTTGTTATGTGCTTTATATATATGATCTCATTTATGCTTTAATAAAAACCTCACTATACTAATGTTAACATGAATGACTCCACATTTACAGATAATAAGCTGATGCTCAGAAAGTCTAACTATACCTACATGACATAGATGAGTGGTGGAAGAGACTTAGATCTGGACCTACAAACGGAGTCTCTCAGCACTTCATTGATGTCCTCTACTGTGCTAGTTTTTTACTGCTATTGTAATAAATCACCACAAATTTTGGTGGTTTAAAGCAACTCAAGATTATTTTCTTACAGTCTAAAAGTCAGAACTCTGAAATGTATCCTACTGTGCTTTAATCAAAGTGTTGACAGGGTTGTGGTTACAAAGTCCATTTTCTTTCCTATTCCAGCCTCTTTGAAAGCTATCTGCATTCTTTGGCAAGTGGTCCCAGTCTATATCCCAAGCCATCAAAAGCTGGCTGAGTCTTTCTCACATGGTATTTTTCTGACACACTGTCTAACTCTAATTAGTGTGCCTCCATCTTCCACATTTAAGGATGCTTTTTATTATATTGGGCTCACTTGAGTAATCCAGGAACATTTCCTTTAAGGTCAAGTGATTAGCAACCTCAATTGCCCTGTGCCATACAATATAACATTCATAGATCCTGGGGATTAAGACACGGACATCTTTGGAGGAGCAGTATTCTACATACTACATTCATTGATTATACAATATAGTATAGTATACTATAATGTAGCATAGTAAATATGCTTAATGAGTATTTGTTTTTGTTTCCCTAGCAACTTTTCATCTAAGCTGTGTTGTCTTGCTTTCATCTCTATCTCTTACAGGTATATTTTTACTCATTACACAATTTTGTCCCTTACAGACATACCAGGAGGCATGGAATGAAAATAGTAATGCAACAACATAGACCTGATATTGCTTCAAGAGATGTGAACATGGCCAAGGCAGGTTAATCAGTCTTTCTCTGGGAACTGAGACTGAAGGGTAGCTTCCTCTTCCCCCCTGGGATCATAAGCCATAATACGGTGTCCTTAAGATGCTGATGGTCATGTGTTTTGATGCATGCACTCCTCCCCCCACAACAGATGGAAACGTCTATGAGAATGGAGCAAACAGATGAGTAAAAGGCCAGTCACAGCCAAGAAATGGAGATTGGACACTTTTTCTATTCAACTTCCATAATTTTCTTGGCCCTGTAAGAAATTCCACACCTACATTTCAGAGGCTACAGCTGTGAGAGAATAATTTCTGCTATTTTGCTTAAGCAAGCTTGAGTGGGATTTATATCACTTAGCATAAAAAGCCCTACAATAAATATTTAAGTATTTCTCGCTTCCTGTGTGGCAATTGTTTTTTCCATTACATTAGAACACTTACAAAATCAGAGTTCATGCTATATAGTTCTGTGGACTTCCTCCTTTGCAGATGACAGAACTCTTGTTTTCTGATTTATATGTACTCCTAAATGTCATTAGATACAAATAGATATAAATAAAACAAAAGCTATACCCATGCATCTTTGATTTTGGCATTTTTTAAAACTCTATTTGTAAAATCCATGTTGTCCAAGTATGAAGCTTGTATAACTTCTGATCTCTTGAAAGACAGAGGTCTTAAAAATGAGCAGTATATCATATGTGTTACAGAACTGTCAAGAGCACAAGAAGAAGCGTAAAATTTGGCAGAAATTTCTCTAAATGCTACAGATATTTTACTGTCCTCCAATTATTAGATTGACATATTTTTGGAATGAGACATTAACACTGAATAATAATAAACAGTTTTAAAAGGATACATAAAAAGAGAAATGATAAAAATTAACTTAAAAATGTCTTTTAGTGCATTTTTACAAATCCTGCCCCTGTGTGTGTGTGTGTGTGTGTGTGTGTGTGTGTGTGTGTGTGTGTGTGTGTGTGTGTGTGTATGCAGAATAAATCTAATGGCAACCAAGAGCTAACAATAATGACTTCTACACAAAGAGAATGGATGCACTGACCAACTAGATGCACAATACAGTAGTATTATATCTTTTCATCAGGCTTTCATAACAAAGAAAACATTTGATTTTTTCAAAAATTATGTTTTCAAGCTAATTGGTACTTTTAAACAAGTCCAATTTCCTTGCATGGCTTTTTGATGCCTAGATTCTGAGTGCTACATGCCAGGGGCAGGTGTAAGTGTTTTACATACACTAGCCACTCTAATTCTCCAACAGAGAACACCTATGAAAGGTGTTTGTTCTAGGCAGAATTCTAGAGCTGCTCAACTCTCAAAGACTCTTATCCCCTGATTTTACAATGAAATTATAATCTAGGTACGTCTATGTAGGGAATTTGCAGATGTAATTAATCTCATACATCTTAACATTGGGAGGTTATTCCGGATTGTTTAGGTATCCCTGATCTAAACATCTGAAACATTAAAATCAGAGATGTGGGCTGGGGATTTAGCTCAGTGGTACTATTCCTGCCTGGCAAGCACAAGGTCCTGAATTGGATCACCAGTACAAAACAAAACAAAAACCTAAACAAAACAAGAAAACCAGAGAGATGTGGCAAAAGAAGACAGAGGGCAATAATACAGAAGGAGAGATCAGAAAGCAAGTGGAAGATGTATTATCATTACTGCCTTTGAAGATGGAGGTAGAGAGAACAAGAGAAGGAATGTGGATGGTTTCTAGAAGCTAACAATTTGCATTTAAAGCCAGCAAGGAAAAAGGAACGGCAGGGGATTTAGCTCATCTGGTTATACCGCCTGCAAGCGCAAGATTTCCATCTCTAGTACAGGGCATGGTGGGGGGAGGTATTGAGCATCATTTTGTCACCGGTGAACTTACCCTTGCAGCTCTAGCGATTAAAGATATGAGTACGAAATTAAACCACACAGACCTTGATTAGATTCAAATTGGGAGCGGGGCAGATAATTTCAAGTATCTTGTTGAAAATAATGGGGAAATTTTAATTTAGTCTAATTAGATAATTGTATTTTATCAATGTTAAATGTCTTGATTTGTGGCTGTTTGGAGCATTTCCTTCTTAGAGGATAGGATACGTGTTCAAGTATTAAAAGCTGAAAAATCCTAATTATTATGTATTTCTGGCAGTGGAAAAATATGTAAAACGTTTTTTAATCTTTTTTTAGGGGGTGGGGTTGAGACAGGGTCTCACTATGTACATGAGACTGACCTGGAACTCACTATGCAGTCCAAGCTGGTCTCGAACTCACAGCGATCCTCCTGCCTCAGCCTCCCGAGGGCTGGGATTACAGGCGTGCGCCACCACGCCCGGCCAAATCACTCTATTTTGTGTAGAATGCAGTTGAGGTAAGAGACAAGATGGATGAGAAAGCACTGCTGTAGTCAGGTTGAAGGTTGGAATGGGACAGTGCTACAGGAGACAAAGAAGGCATCTTCCTCTCACTTCTTTGCCACACAAAACTTAGGTCAGTGAAGTAAATCCCAGTGACGACAGTTCATCGTATAACCAAAGTTCTCACAGGCATCTCCGCAGAACAAAATACCCCGTTGCAGTTGTGGTTGACCAGTTGTTTTCAAATTTTCTCGCTCGATTAACCCCTCTCGCAGTCACAAATTTGCGCTTGCGCGCAGAGTCCTGGTCTCCGAATCGAAGGCGCCACCACTATAGTATAAAATGGGGGAGGCAGAGTCCAAACTTTAACTATTCCTTCCCTTCGCAAAGTATCTTCCAGGTGTTCTGCTTTTTCTCCTACATTACTCTCACTGGTACTGAGTACTGCCTTAGAATTGGTGTGTAATTGAGACAAAAACTGAGTCATATAAAAATGTTTGTATCCCTCTTTCCCCCTCACGTCTGCCGCTTGCGCCGGGCCACGAGGGGCCGGAAGCGGAAGCAGAATGTTGTCTAAGTGAAGAGTCCGGAATCTGCGCGCGTCTGGAGTAGTGCTATGGAGGGACCTGGACTTAGGGAGCCGATGCTGGATGCTAAATCCGAGGTAAGACCCTGCCGAGAAGGAGAAGGGGCAGCGGGGTTCTCGCTGTTGAAAAGTGTTTCCCTAAACTGGACTTTCTGCTTCCGTTTCAGGTTACCAGCCAGGTGAGTGACAGGCTGCCCTGTCCTTTCCTTAGCCGGCTGCCTCTGGCCTAGGACGGCGGCAGTGCCGGATCTCCTCCCAGTTTTTCCATTTCATCACCTGTATCCACGATCCCGTGACTTTCCTCCCTGCTCCCTGTGTTGCTTCTTGCCCTTTGCACCAGAGATGGTGGCCACTCCCCCTGTAATTTTATTTCCTCCACCTACCCGAGCCCTTAGAGTACAAACTAAGTATTGTTTCCCCTTAATTAGGTCACTTTTATTCGAAGGTAAGAATGCATTCTTTTTTTAATGTGATGGAAATAGAAGAAATTAACAAAATTTCCAGAGATAACACTGCAGACTTTTCTTGCTTTAAAAAAAAAAAAGTTGTCTTGAAGATGGAATATACCTTTGCAGCCTTTCAGAATACTACTTTTTATTCTAGGAATAAGAATTTCACTTTATAAGTATATCTTAGTCTGCTTTCTTGTTTCAAGAGTTTCTGCAGCGATTTTTAGGTAAGTAACTTGAAATCCTCTTCTAAGAAGAGTCCTAAAGCTAGAATATTTTAGGCCAGGAGTTATGCAAGTTCATACAATATGTAAGAAAGTGCTGAGGTAAATAGTGAGGATACAAAGGCTAAGAGGGGGTGCCCCTTGTCTGCTCACTCTCTCCAAACTCACTTTGCTGCCGCTTTGAGGATTCAGGGAGGTAAGAGAACTCAGAGAAAGAGTAATCAGTGGCTTTGCCATGAGTTAGTGTTATTTTTATTCAGTCTGTCATAAATCCTTTTGACTGTTTACTTCCTGGGTGTAATCACAAAGTACATGAAATGTTTAAATTTTAAAAATTTGTTACAGTAAAAGACATACTACCATTTAGCTCTTTCAAAATACTTACCCTTGCTTAGAATACACTTGTCTTCTTTCTTGCCATGTTCTGAAGCAGTTCTGGAAGACCTTTTTCCTGTCTTTAATTGTGCTGTCATGGCTGCCTTGGTGTCCTGAATCAGTTCGAAGTGTTTTCTTTGAATGGTCATGCTGATTTTGGGGAAGAGCCCTAAAACTGCATGCTTCCAAATCTGTTAAAGTGCATGAGGACACACCGTAATGTTTTTATTTGACAAAATTGCTGCAAATATTTTGAATTGCTTGTTTTTTTGTAGATCAGACACAGAGTTGGAATATATTATTTTAAACAAGATTGCACAATGTTAAGAAATAAAGTATAACCTATCTTCCAATAAATCTAACAAAAGATGTTTTAAACTTTTCTGAAAAAAACTATAAAAAGCAGTAGACTTCTGGTTTCTGATCCAACTTGTAAGGCACTTGGAAGTTACTGCTTTGTCCTAACAAAAACTGAACAAACTGAAAAATAAGCAATTATTAGACCTGTCAGAAAACGAGATCACAGGGCAACATAAATTTGTTAGCAAAAGGTATCTGTCAGTCAGCAAGTATTTTCTAAGTGCCTGCTATGTACTAGACACCTCCTTAAGCTTTGGAAATCAGAGATATAATCTTGTACTTAGAGTCTTATGTTTAGAGCTACATTTATCCAATCCTGTTTTATGCCATGGCAGCCCTGAACAATCACATAAACTTAAAAGTAATGAGGCAACCAGTAGTGAATAAAGATGTAATCTTTGGTGTCAAACAGACTTTGGCTTTTATTGTCATTCCAGAAATGTGTGACCTTATGCACATAACCTTAACTCTCTGACACTGAGATTTGTCATCTGCCAAATGGAAATAATAACCTATAATGTGATGATGATTCAAGGAGGCATTTGATGCATATAAACTGCATCACATCACCTGACATGTATTTATCATGAAGACTGATGAAATCTAAAGCCATGTTATGCTAATGTAAAATTTGAGCTGAGGTACATGGTGAGGAATGAAACTGGAATGGTTCCTACATGTGCTTCAACCAACTATGAAGATCACTTACCCATCTTCCATTCCAGGACTTAAGGGACATGGAATGGGGAAAGGCATGTAGGAAGGTGAGGTAAAAGATACTCTAAAGCATTGGGAGTCCTCTGAGGTGCCACAGCAAAATTTAAGCTAATTAAAAAACAGAACTGTCACATCTTCTACTTCCATTACATGTCTGACTAGTCAGATACATAATATGCATATGTAGGTATATAAATTAAATGGAGATATTTTCTTTTACTATGACTAGCATGGAACTAAAAGTCAAATGGAAGAGCAGGAAAGTTGAATAAGTATCTGCATTCAAGGCAATGGAATTAATGTTTTGTTTGTACTCTTTTATTAAAGCTTATAGATTTTCAGTGGAAACTGGGTATGGCTGTGAGCTCGGACAGTTGCAGATCTCTTAAATATCCTTATGTTGCAGTGATGCTAAAAGTGGCAGATCATTCAGGTCAAGTAAAGAACAAATCTTTTGAAATGACAATTCCACAGTTTCAGGTTTGTAGATTAACTCTTAATTTTAGTACATTTTTCTATAATTCCTTTTCAGAAAACTAAAAATCTTTTAAAGGGAAAGTTTTTGTTTTTACTTGTAAGTTGATGTTGTATGTTTTTACAGACGTACACAAAATATCTAAATTTGATTTATTTTCAATAAAATATGAATTTGTGTACTATGCCATTTGATTGCTTTAACAGTTCTCTAAGAGGATATTTTTATCTTCTCTTGTGTTGAACTTACTCTTTTTCCTTTAGGCTTTGTAATCCACAGTGATAAGCTAAATAAATCTTTTCTTTCAATAGTGTTGACTCTATTTCTGAGTAATGTTTAGAAAAATGCAGATCAGATCTTGTTGACTTTATTAGCTAGATATTTAAATAACTCAATAATTTATATTTAGAGTTATGTTATTCATATTATCATTTTACCACTTTTTTGTAACTAAGAAAAAAAAAGGTAGGGAATAAATGAGATTTTCTTTTGAATGTATATCCCAGAAGATGTTTTGTTATTAACAAATTTGACTAGTCTAAACAGTTTTATTTTTGTTCTAAACCCTTCAGGTTATGAGTAGATAGGAATTTTTAGAGCAGTTGGTACTCAAAGAAAAGTTGGATAATCTAATAAATGCAAACATCATGAATAAAATGAAAATAAACAGCTGAAACTTTGTTAAACTAACTAAAAACATGCCAGTCCTGGGCTTCTTTTGTTAAAAAAGAAGCCTAACATATCACTATACGGTATTATTGAATGCTACTTTTAAAAACTACATTTTAAGAGATATGTTTCCCTTTGTATTTTAAAGTACCATTGCTTTAAAATAAAAATAATAGTCAAAAATAACATTATTAATGTTGATTAGTGTCTTGGAAGGAAAAAAGGGAAAAAGGGAATAAATATAGTATGTTGTAATATGTAAGTGGCCTTCAACTGAATATAAAGACAAAATCAATTTTAAAAGAATATAGGTTTCAGTCCTTTTTTGTAATTTACAACTTCAGGTTTACTTCTTACTTTTCTGTGCATCATTCATGCTTGCTAATTTCAAACTCTAGGAAAAGTTTTTTCTCATAGAAAAAAAATATAAATAGGCAGTCTTTTTCCCTAGCCTTACTGAGGTATAATTGACAAAATTCTATATTTTCAAGGTATACAATGAAATGATTAGATAAAAGTATATGTTGTGTATTTACTACAACCAAACTAACACATGTTATCACACGTAGTCAACATGTGTATGAGTGCTGACATTTAAAATCTTTCAGCACTTTCAAATAAATAGTACACTATTAATTATCACCATACTGTACTTTAGAGTCTCAGAACTTTTTTTTTTTTTTTTGGCACCGGGGATTGAACTTGGGTCCTTGCACTTGTGAGGCAGGCAGCGGAACCACTGAGCTAAATCTCCAGCCCCTACAGTCTCAGAACTTTTATAACTGAATGTTTGTACCTTTTGACCAACATTTCCCAATTTTCAGTCCCTGACAGTCACCATTCTACACTTCTGTTGCCTCTTTTTTGTGTTTTTCTTAAATAGTACTGGGGACTGAACTCAGGGGCTTTGCATTGAGCTATATGCCACACCATTTAAAAAAATTTTGAGATGGTCTTGCTATGTTACTAAGTTGCCCAGGATCAGCTCAAACTTGCTATCCACCTGCCTCAGTCTCCCAGAGAGCTGGAGTTACAGGTGTGTGCCAGCACACTTGACTTCTGGTGTGATTTTAAAAAGGAATTTTCTTATGTGCTTGAAAAGGTTTACTCATGAGCTAACATATGGTTCTGCAATAATATTTTTATTGATAGTACCAAATAGCATCTCTTTGTTTCTCATAGCAACTTTTAGTTGAGGGTATAGCATGAAAACAGTGTGTTACATAGAACCTGGTAAATATAGTTAAAGAACTGTTTTATCCTCTAAAAGCAAAATTAATATTTTTCCCTTTTTTCTCCAGAATTTCTACAGACAGTTCAAGGAAATTGCTGCTATTATTGAAACTGTATGAAAACTGATTATTTGTATTGATAAATTGTTACCATCATTTTGAAATAATGGACTTTACCTTGTGCGAAAGAACTGCTCTTTTATTTTTCCATGTTTTAAAAGTAATTAAAAAATAAGTAGGGGTTAGTGGTGATTGATGCACAATCCTGTGAACGTACTAGAAGTGACTGAATTGAGCAACTTTAAATGGTAGATTTTTGTATGTGAATTATGTCCTAATTTAAAAAAAATCAGATAATTGAGTGATACTGAAGACAATTCAGTGTTATCTATTTATTAGTACAATAGCTTGAAAACTTACTGGTAATGGAACCCACTTATAAACAAGATTTTATACAGTCCTAAATATATGTCAGAAAAATAATTTTTGATTGCAGTCACTACAAATGTAACATTCACTTCTAAGGCAATTAGTGAGAAGACTCTTTTTCTCAAACATTTGGAGTCTGCTTAAGATTGACCATTTCTCTTATATTACCCTAACAGTGGCTCCTACTAATTGTGGAAATCCACTGCTAGTAATCTCTGGTGTTTGCAGCCTGAAGCAGAACGTCATTTGGAAGCCCCTGTACACACTCTGTTTGCCATCTTTCATGTCTCTGGAGCATGCACTCTGAGATAAATACAGCTTAACTCTTTCCACCTTTCTAAATTTCACATGAGTGTTTCACATTGGTGGAATATCCTTTTTCCACTGTAGGATCCCACCTAGGACACCACATTGCATCTTCTTAAGTTTTTCTTGGCTGTGTCAGTTTCTCAGGCTTTTCTTATCTTTTGATAACCCAATTCTGATGAGTACTGAGTAGCTGTATTATAGGATACCCTCAATTGGAATTGTTATTTTTCTAGATTGGGGGTATGGAGCTTGGGGAGGAAGATCACAGAGGTAAAGTGCCATTTTATGTACATTCTCTCAAGGTTTCAATCTTACAGATTTATAGTTTAGACCTAAAATGTCCCCAAACTTCTCTTGTGAAGAAGGTCTTTGGATCATGGAGGCACAGTACTCATTAGTAGACTCTCCCATTGATGAAGAGCTAAATGTGCTGTTAAAGTAGAGGTGGGGGCCCTGACTAGTCTCTTTCCCTTTCATCCCTGCTTCCTGGCTGCCATGATGTGAGCTTGTTCTCCTCGGAACCTTCCACCACGCTGTTTCTGCCTTAGAGCCAGTCGACCATGGACTGAAATGTCTGAAACTGAGCCAGAATAAACCTCACCTTTAAGTTGTGGGTGTGGAGTATTTTGTCTCAGCAAGGAGAAAGTGACTAAGAGTTACATAGTAGCAATGTGATTTCTAACTGCGCTGACATTGATAACCTCTCAGAAATATTTCTCAGGTCTCCACTGTATAATCATTCTTCTTTGTCAATACAATGTTGGATATATGTGTCTGCATGTACAAACTTACTTAAAAATAAAGAATGAGAAGGGCCGGGGATTTAGCTCAGTAGTTCTGCTGCCTACCTTGCCAGCGCAAGGTCCCGAGTTCAATCCCTGGTACCAAAAACAAAAGTAAAAATAAAGAATATGAAACAAAATTGTGGCTAGTGGTTTCTACCAGGCTATAAGGTGAGGAGATGTAGGAAAGACAGAAGAGGAGCCTATAGTAGATAAAAATTACTAGAAACGTTCAAGTCTTTTGATTGGGTGATGGCTTCATGGTATTTATTACATAATTAAAAATTCATAAAATATAACGGCTGTGTTTAGACAATGATGAAAATATGCCACAAACTAAGGTTCATGATTAAACAATCCAGTATCCAGTTTTGTGCTTCTGAAGTTAAAATGAGCAACAAAATTTACAGTATCTGTAAGTACTATTATATTTAAAAGGATCCAGTGTCTAGAATATAGCTTTGTAAATCAAGAAACTCAGGGAGGCCATGTGGTCTTGCTTCAGGACAAATAATCCATCCTCACCAAATTTGGTGAAGACTGGTACATAATTGAAGATTCCTATTTATTACACTGCAAAATGCAATGACCAGTTGGACTGTAATGGTTGTCCTTCATTCACTCATCAAATATTTATTGAACATGCCTTATGTGCCAAACACTTTGCTAATCATTTGGGGTAGATACAGTGATGAAAAAAATTTTCAACATACTGCGAAAGTCAAACATAATAACAGAGGGGCTGGGATTTAGCTCAGTGGTTCCATTGCCTGCCTTGCAAGTGCAAGGTCCCAGGTTTGATAACCAGTACTGAAAAAAAAAAACAAAACCCAAAACATAATAACAGTATTGGAGATAAGTTGATCAGCCTATTTTGCGTATTATGGTAAAGTACAAAGTTTATCCATCTTGAGTACTGAGCAAATTGAGTTAACTACATACACTGGACAAATCATCATGTTTCCATGCAGAATTTCATTGCTGCTATGGATAAGTGACTGCTGGGTTTCCCAACTTTCTCTTTTTTTCTATTTTGTTTTGTTTTGTTTGAGAGAGGGTCTCACTATGTAGTCAAGACTGACCTGGAACTCACTATGTAGCCCAGGCTGGTCTCGAACTCACAGCAATCCTCCTGCCTCAGCCTCCCAAGTGCTGGGAATATAGGTGTGCGCCACCACACCGGGCAACCCAACTTTCTCTTTCTAAATGGGAGACTTGTACTGTATTACCCTTGTGTCCCTGCTCCACAAGTGTTCATTGGATTGTAAGTGGTGAGCTGCTATGTTAATTTTTAGTTCTTTGATTGATATACTGAATGGGTTCACATTTGGATTTGTTGTTGAGATAAAGGCTTGCCATATAGCCTAGGCTGGCCTTCATCCCCCTGCCTCAGCCTCCTGCGTGCTAAAATTAGAGATGTATACCACCAAGCCCATGTATTTGGATATGATGGAAGCAACTGTACATCAAATGGAGACCCTGAACTTTGATAATGTGGTATTTCCCATGTGTAGTAACAGGGATGTCATGGATATCGTGGAGGCCAGAGGGTAGTCCCTGGCAGAAATGGCCAGCTACTTTCTCAGCTGGAAACACTGATAACTCCTGAGGGCTGCTAGGAAAATTAAATGTTTTCTGTTAAACATAAACACTGAAAATAACACTCATTGAGGAATGCACATATGAAATCAGAATGAGGAATTGTGCAAGTCTTTCAGCCATCAGAACCAAAAAAAATGTATCTATGCACCATTCCCATGTTTATCTGCTGGCCGGTCAGTGTACCGTATCTTCCCTACAATGCTTAGCGTTGCATTGACTTCTCAGACTTTGGCTGTCATTTTCTAATCACTGCTTGTCCCCACCCCCACCGCCATACATGTTACAGGTTCATTACTCACTTTTTTCTTCCTATATGATTCATCTGAAATGTTTTATTAAAGTATGGAAAAATACAAATAAGCGAAGCCGGGCATGGTGGTGCAAACCTGTAATCCCAGCAATTGGGAGGCTGAGGCAGGAGGATCGCTGTGAGTTCGAGACCAGCCTGGGCTACATAGTTCCAGGTCAGTCTCAACTACATAGTGAGACCCTGTCTCAAAACAAAAAAACAAAGCAAAACAAAAAGTCTATAGCCAAGAGTTAGAAAAATACTGAGGGAATAATGACATTCAAAGTAAGTAGGAAAACAGTATAAACAAGATGAGTTTGTCCAAGGAAATATATACATATGATAACCATTCTGTACAGTGGATTTTGTTGGATTGCAAATTTGAGTCTGAGTTTTGTAAACCTAAAAATACATCAACCTCTTTTTAGTCACTGTAAAGTAAAAGCAAAGATATGATTCAAAATAAGCCTAATTTATTCAACAAAAGGTTATGAAATTTGCTCATATTAGGCTCTGCCTAATTAATATTAGAGGTTACAGTCGGTCAGATATTATCATGGACAATAATAGCCTGACGCATTAATAGTTCAACAGTGAATCCTAACATTGATTACAATGTTGTAACCCAAACCAGTTGTAATTAAAACTATTAAAAAGTCTTGAATTATGATTATGGAATCTCTAAATTTTATTGGTAATGCATTTATATACAATTATGAGGGATGCAAACTGATTCTTTTAAAAAGTAGATTAGCGCATTGTATTGGCAGTCTGTGATAGTTGATTGTCAACTTGAGTAAGTAACGAGCAACTAAATTGGCTCAGCATAGTTCTGGGTGTGGAAGACCCACCTTAGGGAGGATTATCACCAGAATGCTATAAAGGGTAAATGGAGGAGGAAGGATTGCTTCTGTCTTCTTCAGAGGAGCTCCAGTGTTTGCCTTCACCTTGGAGTCATCTCCTGGCATCCAGTGCAGACTCGCCAGCTTCCAGCACTGACCCTTTAGCCTTCTGGCATAGAACCTTCAGCTTCCTAATGCAGACTTGCACCAGATACTATACAAAACTCCAGGCCTTTGACTGGATCCTTTGGATCCCCAGTGCGCAGACCTTTTACACTCTCCCACACCCAACTCTGGAAGGCTGTTGTAAGCCAATCCTGTAAATTTTTGTATGTGTGTGTGTGTGTGTATTTGTATATTGTATTATAGCCATTTAATAAGCACTGACTGATAACACAATCTTTAAGATCAATCTCAAGTTTTGGTGATTATCATATAGTCATGCTCATGGCCATGAGTATGATTTATTACAGTGACAATCCAGCAAACGGAAAAGGCACATTCAGAAGTCAAACAGAGACTAAATGGAGACTTCCCTGAATCCTCCCTCAGAAGAGTAAACAGAACACACAGTAATTCTTCAAGATGATAAGCTGTGTTGAGATGTTTGAAATTTGCCAGTCACATTTGTTAGAGACTCAACACCCAGGGTCTTTGGGGGCTTGTCACCTAGGCACATTGTACCTAATGTGTTCCTAAATTTTAGACTCTCAGAAAAACAGATGTTTACTTATATTGTTTATATGAACAGTTTAGGAACAGTGAGGCACTGATATTAGTCAAAGTTTTGAACTTTTAATAAATCAAAATTTCCAGAAGCAAGCCAAGGATCAACCTTGTAAGCAGACATTTTAAAGGCTAAGTAATCAGAATTGCTGTATTAACTCTTCTGTACAGAGAAAATTAAACTTAAAAATTATGGAGGTATTTTGGTATATAGTTTCCTAAAAAGTTAGTTGCCTGAATTAGTAGGCTGCCTTTGTATTAATATTTCATTAATTTGAATGATGCTAATGTGAGCTTAGTCCATACACTACTAATCATCCCAAGGACTTCACAATTAAAGAATAAAATTTTTCATCTTTGAATAAGATACTGGCTAGGTATACCATCAATCAAATGAAATTTAATTTCATGTGACATTTTCAAATGAATGTCATGCTTTTACTAGGACCTGTGTGTGTGTGGGTACATGCACACGCGCGTGGGTGGGTGGGGAGTGTGGGTGTTTTGTTAGTAGTCTACTAGCATACTACATCCCCAGCTCCTAGAATTTATATTTGTTGAGGGAGATAGATTTTGCAGCTGATGATTTAACCACCATTTCACAGCACACATAAAATAATGGATGACATAACTTGATGAACTTGATCTTTTTTTTTTCAGCTTTAATTGAGTTTATTGGTACATTTTAGGGATACAGTACAGTTACATTCATTGTTGGGATCTTGTACCTCTACATGACAAGTCTTGATTCTCATTTTTTCCCCTTACCCCTGCCCTCCCTTCACCCCCTCCTCCCCTCCCGATCTACAAACACTTTATTTTCATCTTTTCATTATCTCACATTTTTTTCTTTTCCCTTTTTTGATCTTGATTTATGTTCTCTTGAATTCTAAGTGCCCTGGAGGAAAGAAACTATTCATCTTTGGCTCGTTATTTCAGCATATGAAGAACATTTATTAAAGAAAGTAATTTTTCAGGTGTTACTGTATTTCACATTCCTATGCCAAAGGAAAGGGCAAAGTTATTTATTATGCAATTAAAGAACTGTTATTATCAAGAAAATAACTGCAGGATGTAGGGAGCTTCCAGATTCCAAGCCAGGATGACTCAGGCAACAGGTCTGAGGAATTCAGACACAGTTGTTATTCTGACCTTAGGAATGTCAGGGAAAATGGTGGAGCAGGAAGAAGCAGACCTCATTACTTTCTCCTTTCCATGTACACAACCAACCTCACACACTATAGAAGTAGCTTAATTTGGAGAATTGAGAATGGTTTTTTTGTTTTGTTTTAAATTTCTAGCTGAAACTGCTTCCCCTCTGGGGAAAAATTTGCTTTCTTATATAGACATCATTCATTAATCATAGGCTTGGTGTCTATTCTGTACCAAACATACCAAGAGGCAAGGATAGTGAGATGTGCTCCTGAGGACCTAAGATTTTGTGCCTGTGATTTTCAAACTATAGAGCAAGCAGCAATCACCTGGAGATCTTCATATCTATAATGTTTATGTAGTATTCACCGTGTGACATGCACTGTTTTAAGTCCCTTACAGATATGTATTCACTTTATCACTCTAATAACCCTATATGATAGGTAGGTACTGTTAACATCCTTGTGAAA